TACACCTTGCCCTGCACCCAGAGACGTCAGGTGGTGACTTTTCGACGCCGCTGAGTACTTGTTGTATTGTCATTTAGTGTGGCGTGTTCCCCTCCCTCGTAAATATGTTTCATCCCGCCCCTGTCTATTCAAGGCGCTCCAGCAGAACTCATTAAGAGTGGAATCCCCCACCCCATGTCTATACTTCACCTAGCTGTCATCCCACCATATCTATTCTTCACCCAGCTGCCACCCCAAACCCCACCCCATGTCTATACTTCACCTAGCTGTCATCCCACCATATCTATTCTTCACCCAGCTGCCACCCCAAACCCCCACCCCATGTCTATACTTCACCTAGCTGTCATCCCACCATATCTATTCTTCACCCAGCTGCCACCCCAAACCCCCCACCCCATGTCTATACTTCACCTAGCTGCCATCCCCCATGTCCATTCTTCACCTAGCTGTCACCCCCCCCCCATTGTCCATTCTTCACCTAGCTGTCATCCCCCCATGTCACCACCCCCAACCCCCCCCCCCATGTCTATACTTCACCTAGCTGCCACCCCCCATGTCCATTCTTCACCTAGCTGTCACCCCCCCCCCATTGTCCATTCTTCACCTAGCTGTCATCCCCCCATGTCCATTCTTCACCTAGCTGTCACCCCCACCCCCACCCCACGTCTACACCTAGCTGCCACGCCACTGAATGTGTGGATCGCGTGCAATCATCCCCTAAAAACACTCGGCCCATACTTCGTTTGCCTAGTTTACCATGAAAGCTCTAGTTTGACCTTTGCATCGCCTTACGATATCACGTCACGCAGGTTTAAAAGTGCCATGCCTCTTGATGCCATTATGAACTTGCCTGTTCAGGAAAAGACCTTGTATAAAACATAGAAGTTCTGACTAAGCGTCACAGATAGGCAGTTTTGACAGTGAACCTCAGAGTTATATAGTAAACTGTGTCAGCAGTGAAGTAATGAGACATGCATGACACAAAAGTTAGGCTACACGTTTAAATATTTCAACTATAATTTGAGGGTTCTTAAGTCCTGTGATTGAAGTTACTTGGGTGTCGGTGTGAATGGCATGAATAAATGGGTAGCTCTACGAATCATTTTTATGACACCAACGAAGATGTTTTTAGCCTGCATTAAAATTAAAATCTTTATTTGATTTGTTTGAATTTAAATGTTTTATTGCACTGATAACCTATGTAATATGTAAGAATAGGCTATAGCCTGTTTCATTATAGTAATTAGTTAGGCTTAGGAAATGAGTACACTATATATCCTACTAATCATTACAGATATGGTATTATAGTTAGACTTTTTATTTTGACATAATTTAAATCTATAAAAGTTCAAGAAAAAATGAGATTGGAGTAGAAAATTATTATTATAAACACATGCTGCGACATGCACCAATTCCGATTCTAATACTATACTACCACTACATACTTATAGGCATAGGTCTACTAATGATGTATAATAATGGCTATAATAGGCCCTATTAAATAATAGGCCTAATACTAATAATATTACTAATAGCTATATAAATAGCAGTCATTTGAATCCATATCAAAATCAATAATTTTTCATTGAGTAAAATTAAAGAAACAAGAATTGGCTTCATGGGAATGAGAAAAGGTGTTGTTTTTTTTCTTTTAAATAATTTCAACCTTTTAACATGTAAAATAAAGAAATAAATATATATATATATATATATATATATTTAAAAAATTAATATTAAAAAAAAAACTATATGACTATATGACTACCGGGTATTTTCCTTTATTCTTACGGGTATTTAAGTTCATAAAGTTGAGCGCAACAACACTAAAATGACAAGAAGAGAAATAAAGAAAAAAAGAAGACGAATTAGACCTCATCGGAGGGTTATAGTGAATATTGAAATTTCAAATTTGTCGTGGACCATGGGCATGATTAAAAATTAAAAGTCGTGTTAAATTTAAATGTAATAAAATATGAACACTTTTTTTCTATTAATTTACTTTACTTACAAACCAAACGTTTCGAACAATTTATAAATAAAATAACAAATATTGTAAAATTGGAAAGTTTGAATTTAAAAATAGTGCACTATTAATGGTAAATTTATTTTAAGACTTAATTTTTTTTTTTTTTTAAATTGCAACTTTTATTTAAAATATTAAAATTAAGCCAACTTACCGAAAACACTTCGGGTGCCAATCGCTGTTGAGCGCTTGCACAATTGGTTCGGACGTTATAGTCTCGCCACATCCTTTACAATATGGAGGTGGCTCCGAAATCATTTGAATAAACTTTTTTCCCCCATCCACTTCAAAGAAATCAGAATTTTCGATCTTGTATTCACTTATTATCCAACTTTTCGAAACTTTTATCCAGAGCTTGTTCGGGTAACATCCATCTTGGCCACCATTTTTTCCTCATACAGGTAAACCAAAGCCATAAGAGTACCGCCCCTTAGTCGAGACCACGCCCACGACCGATCAACCGTGTAAACAACATAATATTGTTAGTGCACTTAGATACAGATGTTAATTGAAAAATTCATCGACACAAATCTAAGGATTATTATTTTTGTAGTAGGTTTTAAACGTAAATTTGATGTAGACAAAGCGGTTTCTGGGTAGAAAGGGAATCAAAAGTAACAGTTTAGCGAAGATCATTAAAATTAAATGGTTGTAGTCTTTGTATAATATAACAACATTTATGTCCCTTGACCCTAGCATTAAAAATCCAAGAACTTAAAGTCATTGAAAATGAAGTATATTCCGGTATTTCCAACACTGATGTGCTGCAGTTGTTTGTTTTGTTTTTTTAATTATTAAAAATGCTAATTGAAGAGCTAAGGGGTCGTTCGCAAATTACGTCATGGTCGGGGGGGGGCACAGGGGAAATAGGGAAAGGGGGGGGGGGTTGTTAAAAATTTGTGACGTCACAATTTTTAAACTTGTTTTTTAATTTAAAAAATTTCTACTTTTGCAAAAAACAACTTTATTCAATTAATTTTAAAAAACATTAATTTGAGGTTGAAATTGTCTCAGGTATTTTAACTACCTTGAAACTTTGTCGTGCACACCTTATACGCATATCGAAAAATGACGCAAAAACTGTTGTGGCCAAATTACATTTGACTCGACAGTTTTCTAATAATACTACATCTTAGCCCATTATTAAAAAGTTAAAGAATAAAATAAAATCTTAGTTTAGTTATTAAAAAAAGTATGTGTTTTCAATTTTGGCACGGGTTGGGGAAGGGGTGGGGGGTGTTTAAAGAATTTGTGACGGGGAGGGGTGGGTCTGAAAAGGTCTTTTTTTTTGCGTGACGTAATTTGCCAACGACCCCTAAGAAGTTATGTATTAAAAAACCATGATTTTTACTCATTCGTGCTCTAAAATTAATGATCTTTGACCTAATTGACAATAAATCAGCTAGATATTAAATAAAATCGGAATTTCTATCCTCACACACATTGTGATGCTTCAACCCAAAGATGTCATTTTCGAAATCAAATATTTGTACAATTCACTTATTAGTCTTTTCAATTCAGAATAAATTACACTGTATTGAAATGTAAAAGTTAAGTTTAGGCTTTGAAAAATATTTTAAATGTTAAACTAATGTCAATTAGACTCTTTTATAATTTTACCTTGGAGGATCCATTGAAATGTTAAACTTATGTCAATTAGACTCCTTCAGAATTTTACCTTGGAGGATCCATTGAAATGTAGACCTAAGGTCAATTTGACTCCTCTATAATTTTACCTTGGAGGATCCATTTAAATGTAGACCTAATGCCAATTAGACCTCCTTTATAATTTTACCTTGGAGGATCCATTGAAATGTAGACCTAATGCCAATTAGACCTCCTTTATAATTTTACCTTGGAGGATCCATTGAAATCTAGACCTAATGCCAATTAGACCTCCTTTATTATTTTACCTTGGAGGATCCATTGAAATGTAGACCTAATGTCAATTAGACCTCCTTTATAATTTTACCTTGGAGGATCCATTGAAATCTAGACCTAATGCCAATTAGACCTCCTTTATAATTTTACCTTGGAGGATCCATTGAAATGTAGACCTAATGTCAATTAGACTCCTCTATAATTTTACCTTGGAGGATCCATTGAAATGTAGACCTAATGTCAATTAGACTCCTCTATAATTTTACCTTGGAGGATCCATTGAAATGTAGACCTAATGTCAATTAGACCTCCTTTATAATTTTACTTTGGAGGATCCATTGAAATGTAGACCTAATGTCAATTAGACTCCTCTATAATTTTACCTTGGAGGATCCATTGAAATGTAGACCTAATGTCAATTAGACTCCTCTATAATTTTACCTTGGAGGATCCATTGAAATGTAGACCTAATGTCAATTAGACTCCTCTATAATTTTACCTTGGAGGATCCATTGAAATGTAGACATAATGCCAATTAGACCTCCTTTATAATTTTACCTTGGAGGATCCATTGAAATGTAGACCTAATGCTACATAGACCTCCTTTATAATTTTACCTTGGAGGATCCATTGAAATGTAGACCTTATGCCAGTTAGACCTTTTTTAAAATAGTTTTACAATGGAGGAACCATTAAAATGCCTGAACAAATTATATCACCTGTGACTCCGAGGGCACACATTTTTTTTTTGTAGATGTAATCAAACTATCAGAACCCTTCTGAGGGCAGAGTTATTCCTTAATTTTATTTTTTATATAACTTATTATTTTTCCACCTCCTCATAAATGTTTTAGATCTAACCGATTCAGCTGGTAAGTTTGTGTACAGTTTGTGTATAATTTGTGTATCGTTTGTGTATAGTTTATGTTTCATCAATTAATTATATTTCCCTAATATAATTTTAAATGTATCAAATTTAATCTAATCTAAAAAGTCAAAGTTGTTCGAGTCTAAAAAGTCACAAGAAACATTGCGCTCTAAAGGTATCCTTTTTTGTAAAGACATACAAACTAAATGACAAAATTAAAGAACATGATCAAACTTTAAATTTTAATAACAAAGCAACACAAAGGTCAGTCACATAATGTAACACAAACTTTTGCCAACAGTCATCCATGTAGAAAAAAAACACACAAAAAAAACATGGACTACTTTGAAGCTTCAAGTTCAAAGGCCATATTGTTTATGCTGCACTTTCCCTGGCAATTTTTCTTAGCAAATATCTTTTTTTAGCTTCTGAAATGTCTTTATGAGAATTGTGATGAGGGAAAACTTTCTTTCTTGGATCAACAGGAGCCTCCCTTTGACTTTTGTTTCCATCATCATTAATTTCATTTCTGATTGACTTTAAATTTTGACTGATTTGAAAATTTTCTTTGGTTTCTTCCAAGGGTGCCTCTTCAGGGTTACCTTTCCTGCTACTTTCATGATTACTTGACAAATTCAAAGGTTCCTCTCGTTTGGAATCCGAGCCAGATTTTGTTCCACGCTTGTCATCAGAATGTGACTTTGACAAGCTAGCACTTGGGCTTCTTTCTGTTGACTGTGAATTACTGTCTTTGTCTGGTTTACCCACTATACTAGATTTCTGGTGTTTTTTCTCACTGGCTCTGGAAACTGACCCTGTCTTATTCTTTCGCTCATCAGATGAACTTGAACGAGATCTTGTTCTCCTGGATGTTTCTCTGGAAGATCCATGGTGTCTTTCTTTACCCTCCCGGTTCCTCTTACCTCTTGGGGACCTTGATCTTGAATGCCTCTTTCTAAAAGGAGATCTTGAATGCTTCTTTCTAATCGGGGATCTGGAACTTGAATGCCTTTTAGTAACAGGGGATCTTGTATACCTCTTTCTTACTGGGGATCTTGATCTTGAATGCCTCTTGCTAACAGGTGATCTTGATTGCTTTCTTCGAACAGGGGATCTCGAATGCCTCCTACTATCTAGTGATCTTGGATGATGTGAATGTTTTCTATCAGGCTCTGGAGAGGATGAGTCAGCGGCTCGTTTTCTGAATTGTCCCCCTTTGTTTGGTCGACTAGGTTTAGAAAATTCTATTTTGTCTGCCTTTCCGGCTTCCTCTTCTTCACCTGAGCTTTCACTGAAAAAAAACAAAGATAATTTTTGAAACTTTTACTACCTTAACATCACACCATTCTAACTAAACATCACACCATTCTAACCTAACTTCACACCATTCTACCTTAACATCACACCATTCTACCTTAACATCACACCATTCTACCCTAAAATAACACCATTCTACCCTAACCTCATACCATTCTACTATAACATCACACCATTCTACCCTAACATCACATCACTCTACCATAACATCACACCATTCTATCCTAACCTCACACCATTCTACCTTAACATCACAACATTCTACCCTAACATCACACCATTCTACCCTAAAATCACACCATTTTACTGTAAAATCACACCATTCTACCTTAACATCACACCATTCTACCTTAACATCACACCATTCTACCCTAACTTCACACCATTCTACCTTAACATCACACCATTCTACCCTAACATCACACCATTCTAACCTAATATCACACCATTCTACTGTAACATCACACAATTCTACTGTAACATCACACCATTCTACTGTAACATCACACCATTCTTCTGTAACATCACACTATTCTACCTTAACATCACAACATTCTACCTTAAAATCACACCATTCTACCTTAACATCACACCATTCTACCTTAAAATCACATAATTCTACCTCAACATCACAACATTTTACCCTAACTTAACACCATTCTACCCTAACATCACACCATTCTACTGTAACATCACACTATTCTACCTTAAAATCCCACCATTCTACCTTAAAATCCCACCATTCTACCTTAAAATCCCACCATTCTACCATAAAATCACACCATTCTACCTTAACATCACACCATTCTACTGTAACATCACACCATTCTACCTTAACTCTTTACATTCCTTGAATTTTGCATGTTTTTCATGAGATTTCTATTGACCTTAAAAAAGAGTCAATAACTTTTAAAATCCTTGTCTAAATATCATGATGTTATATATTTTATAGTGGGGAAATGCATAAGGTTTCTAAAAATATTTGTTTTCAAACACATAGTGTCAGTACTTAGAAGTTGTGAAACAAAAATGCAATTTTTTTTTAATGAAAATGTGTGAAAAAAAAAAAAAAATGGTGATCACATGCAAAGAAGGAAAAAAACAAACAATATGAAATTATTTTTTAAAATCTGTTTATTTAGAAAGCAAATTCATTTTCTTATATTATATGCATGATTTAGAACATTTCATGAGAATTTGACGAAAATATAATTTTTTTGTGAAATGTGTCAAAAAGGGGAAATTATTTTTAAAAAATAAAAATCACCGCCCCCCAATAATTTGGTTTTTCTCCCCAATAATTGCCTAGAAAGACATCATCCATTTTGGTTTTGTTCACAAAAGAAAATCCATTTGCTGTCGTACTATTTGAAATAAGTGAGGCTTTTCTCTCCACTGAACATAGTATAAATTATATTATCTCTGATCCATCACATCATATCACATTGCTTTGGTTTTTATCTTTATTTACTTCTGATAAAGTCTGACAAGTTCACTTTGCACAGTTTGTCCTCATTGTCTGTTTCAATATTAGAAACTTTGAAGAATGTCTTATTTGAATAAATCTGTTTTTGGGAATACGGCATGAGCCCACAATTCATGAAAGTAGTGAAACATTGTTGCGGTTGACGAGTATTTTTGTACACTGAGGACTTGTACAGTTGACATCCACATTAGTAGTCCTAGAAAAAGGTGTAAAAGTGGTATGTTGTTGAGATATCGACAAACCACAGTTGATGGAAGGTTTAGAAGGTCCCATTGTAGTTGAATAGGTGTATTTTACAAATGTTTTAACCAAATTCAGCGTGAAACATATCTTGAAAATCCTTAGACTTTAGGGTGCAGATTGTAGCTGTGTTATGATGACATTTCTTCCCACACATGTCAGCCTGGCTTTCTGGATGGGGGAAACTTAGGAGTGGGAACCAGTGGGTCATCATCTCAAACCTCATGAAAGCCTAGCCTGAGAAGTAAAAGAATAACTAATATTATAGACCTATATGCAACTATTAGGGATGCAATGAATATAAAATATATACTTACTTAAATTTCAAGTTTTTAATACTTCAAATACTGTCTAAAAACCGTTATGACAAAAAAATTTAGTGTCAGATAATTAATTTTTTATGACACACATCGATGTCAAATTTTATGGTCTCTAGGATGAAATATATCATAATAATCAGTGCCGACTGCCTTGTTTACATTTCTTAGCAACAGTTTCTAAGCATAACGTCTTCTAAAATTATTAATGTAATAAAATATTTGCAAATTTTACAATGATTTTATTTGCGTAGATTCATTTTAAAATGGGTACTAAATACTTCAATTATGATTATAAATACAATTGAAATCGATAAAATAAAAGTAAAAAATCTATAAAAAATATAGAATGACGAAACACTTGATTACTAACCTTCTAGTTTTAGTGACTATAATGGGCTATAAAGGCAGATTCTCATCAAAATCTGAATCAAAGTCACTAGATTCAGGTTCCCAACTATCTTTCCCAGATGTTTCAGATAAAATTTGATCAATATTTTCGTCAGTAGTATTCATTATTTAAAATTTTGGGCTGCTGAGTCGACCAGCGTCTTGCACAAATTTTCCCAAAATGGCGAGTAACGCTTCGGCATGTCACGTGAACCTCGAACTCGTAAAAAAACGTCATTTTTTATTTTAAAACTTTAAATATTATTTTTTTAACATTTTTATTCCAAATGTATGATAAAATAGCTATAGAACACTTAAAAAATAAAAAAGACAATATTTTATTAGCAAAAATAACCAACGTATATAGTTGTACACTCTCTATATAAGAGGAATGAAAAGAGTTAACATCACACCATTCTACCTTCACAACAAACCATTTTAACTTAACATCACACCATTCTACCCTAACATAACACCATTCTACCCTAACATCACACCATTCAACTGTAACATCACACCATTCTACTTTAAAATCACACCATTCTACCTTAACATCACAACATTCTACCTTAAAATCACACCATTCTACCTTAACATCACACCATTCTACCCTAACATAACACCATTCTATCCTAACATCACACCATTCAACTGTAACATCACACCATTCTACCTTAAAATAACACCATTGTACTGTAACTCACACCATTCTACCTTAACATCACACCATTCTACCATAACATCACACCATTCTACTGTAAATCACACAATTCTACTGTAACATCACACCATTCTACTGTAACATCATACTATTCTACCTTAACATCACACCATTCTACTTTAAAATCACACCATTCTACCTTAACATCACACCATTCTACCTTAAAATCACACCATTCTACCTTAACATCACATCATTCTACCTTGAAATCACACCATTCTACCTTAAAATCACACTATTCTACCCTAACATCACACAATTCTACCCTAAAATAACACCATTTTACTGTAACTCACACCATTCTACCTTGACATTAGACCATTCTACCATAATATCACACCATTCTACCTTAAAATCACACCATTCTATGGTAACATCACACTATTCTACTTTAACATCACACCATTCTAACTTAACATCACACCATTCTACCTTAACATCAAACCATTCTACCTTCACATCACACCATTCTACCTTAACATCACACCATTCTAACTTAATATCACACCATTGTACCTTAACATCACACCATTCTACCTTACCTCACACCATTCTACTATTACATCACACCATTCTACCCTAACATCACACCATTCTACCCTAACATCACACCATTCTATCCTATATCACACTATTCTACTGTAACATCACACCATTCTACTGTAACATCACACCATTCTACTGTAACATCACACCATTCTACCGTAACATCACACCATTCTACTGTAACATCACACTATTCTACCTTAAAATCCCACCATTCTACCTTAAATACCACCATTCTACCTTAACATAACACCATTCTACCATAAAATCACACCATTCTACCTTAACATCACACCATTCTACCATAAAATCACACCATTCTACCCTAACATCACACCATTCTATTGTAACATCACACTATTCTACCTTAAAATCCCACCATTCTACTTTAAAAATCACACCATTCTACCTTAAAATCACACCATTCTACTGTAACATCACAGTATTCTACCTTAAAATCCCACCATTCTACTTTAAAATCACACTGGTCTACCTTAAAATCACACCATTCTACCTTAACATCACACCATTCTACCTTAAAATCACACCATTCTACCTTAACATCACATCATTCTACCTTGAAATCACACCATTCTACCTTAAAATCACACTATTCTACCCTAACATCACACAATTCTACCCTAAAATAACACCATTTTACTGTAACTCACACCATTCTACCTTGACATTAGACCATTCTACCATAATATCACACCATTCTACCTTAAAATCACACCATTCTATGGTAACATCACACTATTCTACTTTAACATCACACCATTCTAACTTAACATCACACCATTCTACCTTAACATCAAACCATTCTACCTTCACATCACACCATTCTACCTTAACATCACACCATTCTAACTTAATATCACACCATTGTACCTTAACATCACACCATTCTACCTTACCTCACACCATTCTACTATTACATCACACCATTCTACCCTAACATCACACCATTCTACCCTAACATCACACCATTCTATCCTATATCACACTATTCTACTGTAACATCACACCATTCTACTGTAACATCACACCATTCTACTGTAACATCACACCATTCTACCCTAATATCACACCATTCTACTGTAACATCACACTATTCTACCTTAAAATCCCACCATTCTACCTTAAAAACCACCATTCTACCTTAACATAACACCATTCTACCATAAAATCACACCATTCTACCTTAACATCACACCATTCTACCCTAACATCACACCATTCTATTGTAACATCACACTATTCTACCTTAAAATCCCACCATTCTACTTTAAAAATCACACCATTCTACCTTAAAATCACACCATTCTACTGTAACATCACAGTATTCTACCTTAAAATCCCACCATTCTACTTTAAAATCACACCGGTCTACCTTAAAATCACACCATTCTACCTTAACATCACACCATTCTACCTTAACATCACACCATTCTACCTTAACATCACACCATTCTACCTTAACATCACACCATTCTACCTTAACATCACACCATTCTACCTTAAAATCACACCATTCTACCCTAACATCACACCATTCTATTGTAACATCACACTATTCTACCTTAAAATCCCACCATTCTACTTTAAAAATCACACCATTCTACCTTAAAATCACACCATTCTACTGTAACATCACAGTATTCTACCTTAAAATCCCACCATTCTACTTTAAAATCACACCGGTCTACCTTAAAATCACACCATTCTACCTTAACATCACACCATTCTACTGTAACATCATACTATAATATTATTATACTATTCTACCTTAACATCACACCATTCTACTTTAAAATCAAACCATTCTACCATAAAATCACACCATTCTACCCTAACATCACACCATTCTACTGTAACATCACACTATTCTACCTTAAAATCCCACCATTCTACTTTAAAATCACACCATTCTACCCTAACATCACACCATTCTACTGTAACATCACACTCTTCTACCCTAATATCACACCATTCTACTGTAACATCACACTATTATACCTTAAAATCCCACATTCTACATTAAAATCCCATCATTCTACCCTAATATCACACCACTCTACTGTAACATCACACTTTTTTACCTTAACATCACACCATTCTACTGTAAAATCACACCATTCTACCTTAACATCACAACATTCTACCTTAAAATCACACCATTCTACCTTAACATCACACCATTCTACCTTAACATCCCACAATTCTACCTTAAAATCACACCATTCTACCCTAACACAACACCATTCTACCCTAACATCACACCATTCTACTGTAACATCACACCATTCTACCTTAACATCACACCATTCTACCTTAAAATCACACCATTCTACCCTAACATCACACCATTCTACTGTAACATCACACTATCCTACCTTAAAATCTCACCATTATACCTTAAAATCACACCATTCTACCTTAAAATCACATCATTCTACCTTTACATCACACCATTCTACCTTAACATCACACTATTCTACCCTAACATCACACCATTCTACCTTAACATCACACCATTCTACCTTAATATCACACCATTCTACCCTAACATCACACCATTCTACTGTAACATCACACCATTCTACTGTAACATCACACTATTCTACTGTAACATCACACCATTCTACCCTAACATCACACCATTCTACTGTAACATCACACCATTCTACCCTAATATCACACCATTCTACTGTAACATCACACTATTCTACCTTAAAATCCCACCTTTCTACCTTAAAATCACACCATTCTACCTTAAAATCACACCATTCTACCCTAACATCACACCATTCTACTGTAACATCACACCATTCTACTGTAACATCACACCATTCTACTGTAACATCACATCATTCTACCCTAATATCACACCATTCTACCTTAACATCACACCATTCTACCCTAACATCACACCATTCTACCCTAACATTACACCATTCTACCTTATCATCAACTAATTATAAGAGAGTTGGGCTACGATATGCTTTAAGTAGGTAATATAGACACAAAGTATATATAAAACACCATTTTTATAACGTAATATTACACCATTCTAGCTTAACATGACACTATTCTACTGTAAGATGGCACCATACCTACTCCACCATAAAATCAAATAACATAACATCATGCCACTCTACCTTAACATCACACCATTCAACTGTAACATGACATCAGTCCACATAACATCACACAACTCTACCTTACTATACAACACTAGCTATAGCCTGATAAAATAGGCGACAGCAATGTGTGAACTTCCCATCTACTAAAGTTACTTGACAAAACATGAACTCAAGTAAAGCACATTTAAGAATCCCAATTTTAGCTAAACCCTTTCCCTACATGATACGTCATTGCACACTTTTTATTCCATGTCCATGAACTACATTAAATATTCTGATGTCCCAACCACTTTTAAACCAAATATTTTTACACTATACTTAAATTGAGTAGATTTCATTTTCCGAAAAGAAAATATTACGCACCAAACGCAGTTGCATTATTAAGAAAATATATATAATTAGCATAGTTATTGGGAATTATTTTTTGCATGCTATTGAACTCATTATTGAACCATACTTTCTTTGAAACATATAAAATTATTTGTAATATACTCTCAATACCATATGTGCTAAATAGGACGCAGACAGAAAAGGAAGCAGTCCACAAGTCACACCAGAAGTGTAATAGATATAAGAGATTCTACCTTATCATCAACTTATTATGAGTGTTAGACTGCCATATAGTTTTATCATTGTAGCATTACACCATTCTATGCACAAATATAACTACATATGATGCAATTTTAGAGCAAAGGGAAACCACTGTTAAATTCAGATTTTAATACAAACTACAAGCACACTTAGACAATCAACCATAACATGATGCTTGAATTCATCATTTCTTTTTTAGAATAAAAGGAAGATAACTAAACAAGGCCACAGGTTGAGATATTGTGTTAATACTCCTTATACAACACATGACAACAGATGAGCTAAGTATGGCAATACCTGTGTGATGATGTTGAAGATCCAGTCGATGATGATGATGATGAGCTTGATGGAGAGGATTCCTTATCTTTGGGCTGTGTGGGTGGATTTTCATTGTCTTCAGGACTGCATTCTTTCTTGATGCTGCAAAGTTAATTAAATTTTAACTCATTAACACCTTCCCTTAATTCTACAAACTTTGGGAGACAATCTTGGGGATATTTATTAATCTTATATAATAAAACCTGCAAATTGAACATTTAAAAAAGTGCAAATTGAAAATTTATTTTAATAATGAGAATTATTTCCATTAAATCAATAAACAAAAAAATCAATATACCAGATTGGCTAATCTGAATAGTTGATAGACTTTCAGGAGAAAAATGGCAAATAAATATGTTTATAAAAATCTAATATACACAAAGATCAATGAATTATCATTATTTAAAAATATAATACTGTAGTACACTAGAGAAAACTGTAGCTGTTATAAATTTAAAACACTAAATTTGTACGTACCGTTCTAATATTTAAAGAATTTATTATTTTAAAGATGGCTCGTTGACAAACATTACACAAAAAAGGAACGATCCCATTGATTTAAATACAGTAATAAAAGAACTATACCCGAAGTAGTGCTAATTACAAATAATTTATTTAAGCTAACTTTAAAATACAAAATCAAATAAAATAAAATACAACTCTATTAACTTAAATTTACAGCAATGAACTGGTACAATGTTGGGAAGGTGCACACACACAGAGTAAATATAAGGTACAAATATATGGTATAGTCAGTACTGCATGTCAGTTTATTCATCTTGCTCTTGCCTCATATCTTAGTCTGTCTCAATCTCAACCAATCTATCTCTCTCATTGCTCTCTGTCGATCGGATTATTTATAGTCTCTCATAAAGACTATTCCAGAAAGCGTTAAGACGAGTGCTCTATCTGTAACTAAGGCCTTCTCGTAAGTTCTATCAAAATTGACGAGATGCAGTGTTTAAATTTTAAACAAGGTGAAGGGAAACAATTTACAATTAGGCCACACATTGTGTCTCCAAAACTTGGGGTCACCCAAAGTTCACGCACGAGAAACATGCATCTACCATAACACTAATCTTTCTAGAATAATATAACCTAATGATTTAGAATATTAGGATAGAAAAAAACACAAATAAGGTTTGCATTCTTCACTGGATAGAGATTTTATTTAAAGATCCTGAAACTGTTTTTCTCTACTCCAAAACTTATTCATTTTTGGGATCCATTAAAAATGACAAAGAGACCAGCGTAATTGCACATAAATAAACTTATGAAACGGGTATTACTTCTCATCTTTAATTAGGCTGCTATCATCTCCACTGGGATTCTGAGTACCCTCAGTCCCTGCAGTAGTTCGGTAAAGATATCTGTAAAATCCACTCATGTCTTTCTGTTTGGTTACATCAAGAAGATCTAAAAAGACAAACAAACGAAAATCACTTAGCTGCTGCCACGAGTTATTGGTTGAAGGTTAATTTATGAACAACTTAATTATTTAAGTATGAGACAGTAATAACCTAAAATACTTTTTCACAATTTAAAAATTTTGACAGTCATTTTTTAATTGAATATTTTTGTCACAATCTGTAAGTGATTTGTTTCTTTCATCAAATTCTTTTACATGTGCATTAATTGTAATCACATCAAATTGAACACAATGCTTTTTCCGATATCTGCAACAATTACTAGTCAATACCCAAAATCGACACTTTTTTTATTTTACTGCCAAAAATAGATTAAAAACCAGTAATAGACTCACGAGCACCGATAAAAATACTATAGGGTAAAGGTGAATAGATTCACAGAAACTGGTAAAAAGATTTACAGGGAAGTTTCATGGCTGTATTAAGATGTAAAGTCATAAAGGCTAATCCATGATAGCTTCATTTAAAAATTTTAAGTGATGTCCTTTAGGAAACAAACCTTTTATAATCAATGACATAATTATCTCCCTTAGCAATGTAGCAATGTTTCTACTAACTTTCCATAGCAGCCTCCTGTTTCTCCTTTTCTTCTTCTTTCTGCATTTCCAGCATTTTCTGTTTGTATGCAGAAGTCACAAACTTCTCTTTGTCTGCAAACATTTCTCCTTCAGCCTCACGTTCTTTCTGAACCTGATCAAAATAGCATAACATAACACACATTATTTTTTTTAAGAATTTTTTTTTTTTAATCTTTAAAAAAAAAGTATTACAGCTTTTATGTTTAATTTTTTAATTTTTTTAAAACAAAATGTTAATGATAAAGTTATGTATTGAGATAGTATTCAAACTGTCCCATTAACACTAAATGAGGATAGATAGATTTTTTTAAAAAGTCAACTTTTAAGTGAGATTTTATTATTTTTAACATTATCTAATATTCCTGTTTAAAATTAAACACAGTAATAGGGAAAATATGAATATTTGTTTTTTTACACCTGATTGGGAAATTTTAATGCAATGTGCCATTATTATAGAATACACAGTTGACCATGACAAGTGGAAAATTATAATAGAGGCATTCCTGCTATAGTATAAATATTGAGATCAGTCATTTAGCATTATGTGAGCACCATAATATTGAAGGGTCTAGGAAAAGTTAAATAGCAGGCAGTATAATTCTGAAGGGTTTGGAAAAGGCTAAATAGGCAGTCTAAAATAAGAGCATTAATATTAATCATACTCTAAACCTGCACAGCCATGTGACTTTCAATAGAACTTTTTCAAAACTTCATCAACAAATCGTCTCAAAACTTCATAAACAAATCGTTATCTCTTATATGCAATCTAGTGATCTACATTAAAACTTTTTTCATCTGCACAATCAAAAATAAATATGACACAGGAGGATACAATGTGCCTTACTTGTCTCTCTTTTCTTCTTTCATCTTCTTTCTTTTTCACTTCTGCCGCTTTCAACAAACCTGATATATATCTCGGCTGAAAAAAAAATGCAGGGTAAAATAAATAATTTGGAAGCAGAGGCAGACATAATTAAATAAAATACTTTTAATGAGAGGAATTAATAGAATGCTCTTTATTGCCATCAGTAAAAGATTTTAAAAAACATTATATTTTTTGTGTGCCATAAGAAGATTATGGGATAGAAAATACTTCCTTGAATATTATAACTGCATTTTAAGATTCTAATTGTAAATAACTAGATTAATGTAATTCAAAAATGATAAATTTACATTATTTATGTTAAACAACTAAAAGCAAAGAGAGAGAGTGATATTTGGAAAAGAATAATTTCAAAAAAGATAACCTTTTTCTCCATAGTGCTTTTTTCTTTTAATCCAACGTGGGGTTTATTTGCCTGCAATTTGTCATAGATAGCATCATATTCATAGATATTTGGATCCTCTTGCAAGGCTTTATCAATATCCATCTGTGTCTGTAAAAATGTTTATAATCTAATGAATATGTACAATCAGGAAGATGGCCTAAGGTATATACAGCTTAATTAATAAGAGAATTGATTCTGGTGTGGCTACCTTACTAAAAACAATACTTTAAAATTTTTTTTGTTTAAATGACACTTAAGGAACAATGTCAGACTGTTAACCTGTCTTTTAACTGTACTTGGTCCTGAAGTTTTAACAGCAGACACTCCTGTAGCTGAGCTAGTTTCCTCCTAAGGATATGTAAAAATATTTGTGGGTAAGGGGAAAAGACAATCAACATACATAATTCTCTAAGATCACCAAAGCTTGTAGAATGACATTCACGCCACTTTTCTCTTCATTATGAGAAGAAAAGTTTAAATCAAGCTTCAAAAATTGTTTGTAAAATGTCTAATTTTTTTTAAAGATATCCTAAAGTGATTATTGGACATTCACAGAAAAAGAATATTTCAGGTCCAATTTGTACTGTTTTCAAATTTGGCAACCCTGATTATACCAAATGTAAAATTGAGTCTGTTTTATAACATATCTAAGTTAAATACAAGAGCAGGTTGCCGCTAGAGCATCTAGTGGATTTTTCCATAAGTTTAGTTGCTTAACTTAAGTTTGTGACAATCTAAGTAGGTCATGCAAGGATTTCAGGGTGTTCACTTCAGAAAAAACATGAACAACAAGCTCCTTTTTTAATTCCCTTTATATATATTGTTGTTTTAAATCAACTGCCAATACCTCTATTTTGTTTATTATAATTATTTTCATAGTGTTATAGGCATCTTGTTTACTTTCATTCATCTTTTTTCATGAATGAACTTTAGCTGACCCCAAGTTCGACACAGCCATTGGGTGTGGTTAATTAAAAATAGTCTCCCTTGACCTTGTTTACAAATAAATACAGTCTATGGTCTGTAAAAGTAGAATCATGTAGAAATATCGAGGTTGATCGAGAAAGGGACATAATGTGTAAGCCCTTTCTAGAAATATCTCTGAAACAGACTATATGTATGCCTATGGAGAGATTGAGAGGAGCTAGATTTGCTATACAAGACAGAGACTTGTTTAATAATATTTCCAGTGTGTGTGTGTGTGTTCCTTTTTAAACATTGTACCTTTACAACATTGCATCTTCTTCAACATTGTACCGGTACAAGTCATCACTGTACTGTAAATCAATAACTTTAGTTTTTATTTTATTTTTTGATCTTGTAATCTATCACTAACTTAATTAAATTATTACTTTTAATTAGCTCTAGTTGGGGTACAGTTTTCTGTATTACCATATTTAATTAACTGTATTGTCTTATGTTGTGCACTGTTTTTCAATGAGCCGTATACTCAAATAAGAGATAAAGGTCTCTATACTTACAACAGTTGTTACAATAGTTTTATAAGTATTACTGCAATACAAAGTCATTTTGATGTATCTTTGAAATGCTGGTACCTAAATTCTATGTTTCCTTTTTATGCCTTTTTGCCTTTAGGAGTTAATTTACAAACAATACTGTAATTGTTTCTGTATGATCTGGTTAAGAATTACTCTGTGCCGTTTGTGGGAAGGGTGGGGGGGGGGTGTCTGAAAAAAGGGTGAGAGGGGGCGGACACCATGAGTTTGCCTCACCCAGTGACATCAACCCTAATGACGCCTCAGTATCTAAAACCTTGAAAGTTATGCTATAATTTTACTACAAGATTAAACAAATTCTACTATTTATCAAAATGGAAAAGATGTGTTTTGAAAGATTTTAAATCAAAATAACTTTTATGTTATTTGCAGTAGTTTGTAAAAATGGATTCATGTCAGTGATTTGGTAATCAAAGTCCAGTGCTTATTATCAATTCACTTATGTATGACTCATCCCCTAGAATTGTTGTATGCTATATGGTGTGTGTGTAGATAGTCCTAATCAATTTTCAGCTTTTTAAATTTGCTTTAAATGAAAGACAGCATAGCTTTTATTCCCTCCCCATCATTTAAGGAAATATGGAACACAAAGTAAGGAAACACTTGAAAAAAGATGCCACATAACAATGAATATGTCAGCAAAAAGACTTATCTTAAAACTTGTTCACAGTATCACCAATATTATTTCCAAAAATGTTTGAGTTCATTAAACAAAATTCCTGTCAAGTGTAGGAGGACTGTTTCTCTTTCAAAAGCACTGAATATATTAATGTTCATGTGTCCGACAGCAGCCCACTAGTCATTATGATAGTAATTCAAAAGTCTTTAATTACAGCATTTGACTCATTTCCTCAAAATGCAATAATTTCAATAAGTGTATGAGTTTTTTTTAATTTAAAAAGTGAATTTACCTCATCACTTTCATTTCCAAAAACGTTAAAAGCAGAAGCTTTGGAAGGTTTTGATTTAATTTGTCCATCTTTTTTAGGAATAATAAGACCATACCTGTCAAAGAAAAAAAAAGAGTAATTAATTTATAAAACTGGCATGGTTATTGACTTTATAATGAATATACTTTATTACACTCATAATTGTTTTCAATGCTATGTAAGTATACTATATGCTTCTTACCACAACCAGACCCAAGCATTCACTGATTCCATAGGCCAATGTCAAATTTATATTATTTATATGGTCTTGAATGGTTACCCATCAGAACAAATTTTGTTTCATGACTATGGATTATGTTTTCTATTTGGGTGGTTAGAGTTCGGTGTTGCTGGGGTCATCCCACATGGTTACACCCACCTGTATGTTGCTAACTAGTAACTGTGCACCCCAATCATCATTCCGAGCTGGTTTATTCTTTACCTTTATTTGTTATTTAGTCAGGAGGCCTAATAAATTATTGAATAAATCAATCAATCATATTTTCATACTCATAGTGTGAAGTGTTAATTGAGGACAGTCAATTAATACATTCCACTCAGACTCTGTGGAAGTCATAAGTACAGACATTACTCAGTACATAACTTTTAAAAGTCTTGCCCAGTGTTGGACAGTGACTGTGTGAATCAGTCAACTTCCAATTGGCTTTAGACGGTTTTAGTTGAGTAGGTAAAAAAATTTTAATTGATTTTGACATACAATTTTAATAGTATGACTTAGAAGTTATTGACTTATTGATTCGATTGTGATTGACATAAAAAAAGATGTATCTTTATATGTAAAGGTCTCACCGTGACCCCCCCCCCCCCCCCCGAAACGGATGACTAGATGGTCCTAGTCGATCTTGGCGGATGAACAACATGTAAAGGTCTATCTCTATAACATTTAAAAAATGAGAGTGATGAGCAATATATTAAGTATAGTATAGTAAGTTATAATTGGTAAATGTGAAGAGATATCCCCGAGTTTTTTCATCATGGCCGCCATCTTTGTTATCGCGACCCACGAACTTATGTCCTATATGTATCCCTTATTAACCTAACCTGAACCCTAATTCAAGGCAACTTAAACACGCAAATGACGTCACGGAATCATCTCTGCACATTAGCCCTATAATTATAATATAAGCTAATAGTAATAATAGTCAATAAATTTATAAAAAGTAATAATTAAAATTACTTAGTTATTTGTTATATTATGTCTAAAGTCAAAGTAGACTTACTTAGCGGGTCTTAAGTCTAGTCTATAGTCACTAAAACTATAAATAATAACTATATTTAAAAAATTAATTTGTCTAAAGTCCAAGTTAAGACTTAACTTAAGTGGGCCTACTGTAATTGTATGCCTACTGATTTACTTAAGATTTACTCTCAAACTCAAGAGTCAAGTCTCGACGTAACGACATCATCGATGGACACAGAATAGTGCTAAACTAAGTTAAAGTCAAATGCCAGTTAATCTAACCAAAAAAATCACACAGTTCACACATTTTGAAATACAATTTAGGGTAAACATTTTATTAAATCATTAAAGATACTTATTGAATCATTAAGATTTAAAATGTTTACATACACTTTATTGCCTTTCGTTGCCATTTGAAGGTCAATCTAGTTACCGATCTAAGATCTTACACCGAGATCGATCTATTATGGGTACTTTGTGGTTGAATTTGATCTTTAAATAATCAAAACGCTCTAACTGCATACTTTCTTTAAGTAAGTAATTTCAAACTCTAATCAATGATAAAGCGATAGCTGAACCTGTAGAAGCTTGAATTAGGCGCCTTCTTTATAAAATATTAGTTTAGTGCTTATATTTTGTTTGAAAAATGACGATTTTGACTCTTCTAAAAATAGCGCCCATGGCGGGTGCCTTATTCGCCCCCGACACGTCCTTTATAATCAAAGGACAGCATTTCAGATATTGTTTTATTTTAAAGACGGTATTACAAGAGAAAATAAAAAGTTTACTTACATCTCATGTAAATGTACACATTTTTAAAAAGCAATTTAAAAAAAAACAAGAACCAAAGATCAAACAACAACAACAAAACGAGCACAGAGTCAGCTTAAAACCATTTTATGATAAAATAATCCATATAACATGGCCTATACATTAGCTGCGTAAAATAATGAGAAACTTTGCTGTCAAAAGTTAGAATAGGGGAGAAGCTTGAATATTTTAAAGATTGACCTGACTGTATTAAATGCAGGCATTTTAAGCATAATGTTTAAGCAACCTTTAATGCTCGACTTAGTTACTAAGGTTTGTCTCCCGGGGTCCCACACGATTTTTAGTAAACAAAAGACTTCCCGGTAAATTTTCTTACACACTTTTATAATACAATTGTGACTGTGATTTTTTTAAAATTTCAGCACGTCACAGATTATCACAAATTTTCGCCATAAGCCAGGAACTGTGAAATCTAGTTAACTTAACTGCGCTGAATTAATAAGCACATTAGCTCATATAAAATGACAACATATTTAATACCAAGATAGAAATTTAAAAAATATATGTATAAGTAAAAATTTAAAAAATAAAAATTAAATAATCCAGGGTCCACACTTTTATAATACAATTTTGATTGTGTGATTTTTTTTTAAATTTCAGCACGTCACAGATTATCACAAATTTTTGTCATAAGCCAGGAACTGTGAAATCTAGTTAACTTAACTGCCCTGAATTAATAAGCACATTAGCTCATTTAAAATAACAACATATTTAATACCAAGATCGAAATTTTAAAAATATATATATATAAGTAAAAATTTAAAAAAGAAAAGTTAATAATCCCTAATTACTAATTCTCTTAGTATATTGTTTCAGACGGCGACCCCCAGAAATCCCTTGCAACCCATTTAGAGTTTACGTTCCCTGGCCTAGAACCTCCGATCTAGTAACTTGCTATACCAGGCTGTTAATGTTACGCTAATTTTATATTAAGTAGTGTGTGTGTTTTTAATTTTGTTTTCTTAAAAATCATGCTAGTAAGACATATACATAGGGGGCGTCCATTAATTACGTCAACAAAATAGAGGTGGGACTGGGGTTTGGAAATGTTTGACAATTGTTGACAGGGGGGAGGGAGGGGTTTAGATTTGACGTCAAGTCAACAATCATGTTTTTTATATTAAAATTTTAATCTTAAAAATTGACTGGTTCTTACATTATTTTAAACAGTTTAATGAGTGTAAATATTCAAATATGTGTAGGCTTTTAACAATATAAGAGTTAATTAATGTGTGTCTGACGATGCCCCTGATGCCCATTGTTACGATAGAGCAACACCTGTCTACTCCATGGGAAGTTAATAGCAGCTAGAAACTATACTATAATTATCAGCTTTACTGACAATAATCATATTTATACTTCCACAAACAATTATATTTAGTCTTTAACAAACTTTTAATTGAGTCTGCATTATAAAATTTCAGTGTAAACACGTTTTAACTTGTTCGTTAACAAGCTAAAGATGTAATAAAATGTTTTTCCTACAATTTTGTGTTATTAAAAATACATCAGCACAAAGTAAAACGATTTTAATTTTAAACTTACTTATAATTTAATTCCTTTTTTTTTGTGGGGGGGGGGGGGGGTTATAAAATGTTGACATAATAAAAGGGGGGGGGGGGTATGGTTATAAAATGTTGACATAATTAAATGGGGGGGGGGGTCATCGAAAGTTTGACAGTTCTTGATGGGGGTGGGGGGATTAAAAATTGCGGAAAAATTGTTGACGTAATTAATGGACGACCCCATAAATGGATTCATGTATTAATATTTCTGATTTTTTGTGTTAAATTCAAAACAACCCATTGTTACAAGTTGTTAGAAACATTGTCATGCAAATAGTTCGTAACCGATTTGAACCTATAATTTTAGGGACCAGTCAGAAATTAAAAATTCAAATAAAGTGTGTGTGTGTGTGTTGTTGTTTTTTTACTGGTGGTCTTATATGACTTTTATTAACAAGCATATTATTAGCTAGTTATCGGTTCCTAAGCAGAAGTTAATGATGCAACTAGAAACAAGTTACCAACCTGTTAATTAACATTAACATCGTTTTTCATTCATTAATAGACATAGCAACTAAGCATTTTTTTAAAATCATTCTTTGTATAGTTTAATTAAGTATAACATTTATTTTTTTATTGAATTCATTTTATCCCAGTATTTCCCGGGATTCCGAGGTGATTGTTACATTGATCCCGTTTTCCCGGGATAAGTAGGGCTCTGGGAAATGAGAAACCCTAGTAGTTACTGTTAATACATATATGTTTTTAGCCACGGTAAACGCAGCGCTAGAGCCATGGATTTGCTAAGTTAACAGCGACGGTGAACACAGCCTTTGGTATGGAGGGTTTACCAACGCTGATAACGTAGTACTGCCCAAATATTATTGTCGTAACATCCTAAGAATTAGTAACTTAGCCGACATCATAATCTTAGTCCCTAGAGTCGCTCAAAATAAGCACAGAGACCTCTGACACTTGTTCACAAATTATGTAAGGTTTATACGAAACGATTCACTTCACTTATCGACAAGCTTGTTGTTATATTTTTGAATTAGAAATATATGAAAATATCTTGACGGTTAACCAACTGAAGTCTGAATTCATTTTTATCTAATTGATAATTGAATTATCAGATTTAATTATCATTTTGATAGGAATGTTCACATTCACGGCGATGATTGAATTGATTGATTATTAAATTGATTTATTATTTCACAGGTGACTGACTGACACGCTAATGCTAAGGCCAATATTTTATTTTTTTTCACTTTAATGATGTTTGTTGTTCATAAAATTTTTTTTAGCCAACTGTAGTGTTTAGCTGTGTAACTGTGTAGAAAACTCAGAAAAGCATAACATAAATCAATATAATTATTTGCCTTAATTTGAAATGGCCATGATGGCATAATAACCTCAGTTTAAATTCAAAGGCTGTTGTCATAGACATAGTCATATAATTTGAAACATTTAATAACATTGTTTTGATCAGTTGGTTTTCAGCTTGAAATGGAAAATGCATGTTTAACTCATTTAAATAAGTGGTCAAGTCTACTTATGCTAAATCTTTCACTGTGTGACAGTATTCAACATTATGTTCTGGCACAAGTTTAACTTTTGATGTCATAAATGAAATGACTTTCAATTTCATTTTGCAAATCATAAAACATTTTCAACCTTGTACTGCAACTTAACCATCTAACTTCCAAAAATTAAATGATGTCTCCATAGTTAGCTTCCAATGACACCCCTGGTCTCCAGTATCGGCCTAGGCTCATTTACTATTAATAATAATATATGTATGATTCATAAACGGAAGTCACAGACACAAGACGAGTCTTAATAAATTAAACATTTCAAATAGGGAATAATAATGTTTTCATTCAATTAATCAAACAATTGTGATTGTCAGCATCTCTGGCTTAACAAGTCTGTGACATGACAGCAACAGTCTAATATTCGAGTTACTGCAGTGACTGGTGAGATTTGTTAACGGTACACCTATTAGTAGTATTAGGCCTATTAAAATGTCAATGGATCGCCCTCTCAAAACTTAAACCAAAAAAGAAATGCAGACAACGCTAAAAAAAAATGTTTTTCACATTTCAACCTCTAGTCTGGACATTTTGAATTAGACTAAACATAGAAACAGAAGATGAATATATTTAAACAAACACCATTAACATTAATTAGGACTTGGCTCACAGTTTCCCCCTGACACCAACAATAGCAAAACAATTATGTTTATAGAAGGCAAACTATTGAAAAGCAGCTTTAAATCTGCCAAGATAAAGATAATTGAATGAATTTTCTGGAGAGATATTTTGATGAGTCCATTCCACCTGTCTATGTCAGCATTTCCTAACAGTAAACATTACCCCACCTTATAAGCATTGCCCCACTTGACCACGTTTTATTAACTTAAATTATTTAATTTAATGTAGTATTATATTTCTATTTAAAGTATTTATTAAGTAGTCAAAGTAACATAAGGAAAATGGGCTCATGATATATTAATTTCAAATAGTATTAAAATGCAATTCAATTTAGTAATTAATACTTTTAATGTGCGACGATAGAAGATGAGGAAGAATGCTATTTCTTTGTTGTGTAGATTTCTACTGAATTTGATTCATGGTATAATTCATTAATTAAAAAAAAAATCCTTTTGTTACTCAGTAATCAACTGTGTCTTATTTACCAGGGGTGTATTTAATGAATCTAAATTTCTTCCATTAATTCTTACTCAATTTTCCCATCTGTCAAATAACCCCACACCATGAGTGAGTTTTACAATTTTATTCAACAAAATGCTTTAAGGTTCAATAATAAAAATATGTTCACTGTATAAAATAGTACTGCAGATTGGATGTTACGCAACTAGAAATAGAATTTTATGGGTGTTGTAACACACTTCTACTCTGACATGGCGTGGGATGTTATTTCTTATGCTGTGGGTTATGTCAGTAGTATGGTTACTTATATTAACGCTTCAGGATGCCGACTCAGTCTTCTTCATTCTTTCACTTATTATTCAGGCACGTAAAGAAGAATGCTCAATTCTAGTTAAAACTCACAGTACTTTATTGAACACACTTTATATTG